ATATAGTTATATATTTCATACATACATTTCATGTATATTCACATATATGTGACAAAAAGTGGCGTCACCCTCACCTATTATTCAACAACTGGCTTTCCATACCCAACAGTACAGAGTACATGTTTTTCTATATCAGAAATATAAATCTATATCAGTATTTTAAATAGTTATGTAATACAGTTAGTCTTTTGTATCTCTGTGTTCTGCATCTGCAGATGCAGTCAACCACAGATCAAAAATATTTGGACCTCCCCTCAAATAAAAATACAACAACAACAACAAAACAAATGAAAACCAGGCCAGGTGTGGTGACTTATGTCTGTAATCTTAGCACTTCGGGAGGCTGAGGCAGGAGGATCGCTTGAGGTCAGGAGGTTGAGACCAGCCTGACCAACATAGTGAGACCCCATCTCCACAAAAAAAAAAAAAAAAAAAAAGGAAAGATAAAGAAAAAAATAAGCCAAGTATGGTGGTACATGCCTGTAGTCCCAGCTATTGGGGAGGCTGAGGCAGAAAGATTGCTTGAGTCCAGAAGTTTGAGGTCGCAGTGAGATGTAATGATGCCACTGCACTCTAGCCCAGGCAGGAGAGTGAGACCCTGTTTCAAAAGCCAGAACCAAAACTGAAACCAAAATATCTCCCAAGATAGTACGACAACTATTTACATAGCATTTACATTGTATTGGGTATTATAAGTAGTCTAGAGATGATTTAAAGTATATTGAAGGATGTGTGTAGGTTATATGCGAATACAACACCATTTTATATAAGGGACTTGAGCATCCTTGAATTTTATATAAATAATTCAAGTTTATTGTAGAAAAATCAGAAAATTATAAGGAAGAAAATCAGTCATAATTTTTTGGATTTTGGTACCTGCGGGGTCCTGGAACCAATCCCTAGTGAATACCAAGGGACGACTGCATTTCATTTTTGGTTGGTCCTTATTTCTTTAGCTAATTGTTAGACTTTTTGATTGTTTATAGTTTTTAATGCCTCAAGGTATGCCTTTATACATATATCTTTGGGCACTTGTCTCATTATTTACTTAGGCTAAATTCCCAGAGGTGAAATTTCTGGATCAAAGAGTATAAATATTTTAAAACCTTTTGATACAGATAGCCAAATTGCCTTCTCAAAAACAT